AAAATAATTACTGTATACCTGTAACCCAGATTCCCCAAATGTAAATATTTAAACAAATCTGCAAATCTTTATATACACACACACACACACACACACACACACACACACACACATTTTTTCTGATCTTTTAGAGAGTAAGATGAAAACATGATGCCCCTTAAGTTATAAATATCCCTATATTTCAAAAACAAAGACATTCTCTTACAAAAATAAAGACAAAAAGATATTCTTTTACATCACTATAGAACAATCATAATAATCAGGAAATAATGATACAATACAATAATAATGATACAATAGTGTATAGACCTTATTCATATATTGCCAATTGTCCCAATAATGTCTTATAAGAAAAGACCCCAGATCCAAAGTTGCATTCAGCTGTCAGGTCTCTTTAGTCTCTTTTAATTTGGAACATTGCAGTTTTTCCTTGAGTTTTGTGACCTTGATTTGACATTAGAACATTTGACCACCCCTAACACTTTTTTTTTTCATAATAACAGCTTGTTTTTTGAGATGTAATTCACACACCATACAGTTCTCGCACTTCACATATGTAATTGAATAGTTTTTAGTATATTCACAGAGTTATGCGACCATCACCACAGTCAATTTTAAGATATTTTCATCACTCTGAAAAGAAAACCGATACTTCTTATGAGTTTTTCCCATTTCTTTCACCATCCATCAATAGGCAATTACTAATCTAATTTGTTTCTGAAGATTTTCCTATTTTGGCCATTTATTATATATGGAATCATAATATTTGACTTTTTTTTTTGGTCTGGCTTCTTTCACTTGGCATGTTTTAGCATATATCAGTACTTCATTCCCTTTTATGCTTAAATGATATTTCATTGTATGGATATGCCACCTTTTGTTTATTTTTGAGTTGCTGGGACTTTTGTTGTTTCTACCTTTTGGCTGTTATGAATAATGCTGCCATGAACATTTGTCTACAAGTTTTTATGTGGACATATGTTTTCCTTTCTCTTGGATATATATCTGGGATGGGAGTTCATGGATTGTATGGTAACTCTGTGTTTAATCGTTTGAGGATCTGCCAGGTCATTTTCCAAAGCAACTGCACCATTTCGCTACATTTCCATTAGCAGTGTATGAGGGTTCCATTTTCTCCATATCCTCACCCACCTTGTCATTATCTGTCTTTTTCATTATAGCCATCCTAGTGGGTATGAAGTGGCATCTCAGTATGGGAAATATAAATAAAATTTATTATTTTAACCAATTTTAAGTGTACTATTCACTGGCATTAAGTACATTTACACCATTGTACAACCATCACTACCATCCATCTCCAGAAAGTTTTTCTAAACTGAAAATCTATGAGCTTTAAACAGTAACTCTCCATTTCTATATTGTGGTTTTGATTTGCATTCTCTGATTGGCTAACAATGTTGAACATCTCTTCATGTGCTTCTTGGCCATTTGTATATCTTCCTTGGAGAAGTATCTATTCAGATCTTTTGCCCATTTTTAAATGGCTTATTTATCTTTGTGTTATTGAGTTGTAGGAGTTCTTTATATATTGTAGGTACAAGTCTCTTTTCAGATTTATGATGTGCAAAATTTTTTTTATTTTCTATGTTGTAACTTTCTTGATGGTGTCCTTTGATGTACCAGAAGGTTTTAATTTTGATGTTGTCTAGTTTATCTTTTGTGTTGCTGTTGTTGCTCATGTTTTTGGAGTAATTGTCTAATCCATTGTCATCTCTTGCTTTCCTCCCTCCATCTTTCCCACTTTCTTTTTGATTTCTTCCCTCTTTCCCCCAATCTCCAGACACTTCATTTCTCAGTTCTGTCTCTACTTCTAACTTATTCTCCAAGCTTCATCTTATCCAAAATACATAATTAATTCCTTTTCTTTATATCTTTCAAGTCCATCCTATAAATCTTTCAGTGCTTTTACTCCAGCCCTTTGAACCATGCAGGTATATGTTAGATGTTCAGTAAGTGACAAGTGAATAAATGAATGAATGATGGAATGAGCAAACCTTGTATCAATCCATTTATCTCTTTGACTCTTACACAAGAATTGCTGGCCCTAAGAAAAATTACAGTTGTACATGGAATTATTGTTAAAAATTTGTGGTCTCTAATTTCAACTGATATATCAGTACTGTCCAGCAATTTTTACATGTCCCTAGTCATTCACATTTTTAAAAACAGATGTTTAAACATTCACTTTGTTCTTATTTAACAGTATGTTTTTTTACTCAGAGCATAGCTTAGCATTTTCTGTGACTTCAGTGAGAGTACTAGCTAGCATCTATTCCCATACTTTTCTTATAACCCTCTTGTTTCAGAAGAAGACAACTTGGCCTCACTCCTATTCTAGGCTTGTGTCTCTGCTTGTGTTTTGGATCTTACCATTCCCTCCTCCTGAAAGAACTTGCTCTGTCAGTTATTTCTTCTATCTTCACTACTTGCTACTGCGTTTCTCCCCTCAGCATGTAAATCTGCCCCCCCCCAATAAATAAGTAAAATAAAAGGATTAAATACATTAACCTAAACCAAAACATACACTCAATTTCTCCTACCGACCAGGAGTCTTCTTTCTCTTTCTATCCAACTTTATGGAAGAGTAGTCTATATCAGCTGTCACCATTTTCTTTCTTTTTCAATTTCAGTTGACGTAAAATATTGTTAATTTCAGGTGTACAACATAGTGATTAGGTATTTATAGAACTTACGAAATAATCACCCCACCAATTTCTTATTTAAGATTCATTACTACTAAACTCCCCACTTCCCCTAAGTTCTTTGACCCTCTCATTGTTGAATCAGGCACACCCATTTTAGTTTTAATGTTACTTGCTTTCTCTGTAGCATTTGACACTGTTGGCTGCTTCCTCTTCTTAGAACTTTTTGTTATCCTGGCTTTGATCACATTTTTTAAGGAAGCCATGCATGCTCTCTTTTTAAAATCAGAACCTAATGCTTCTAGTCATTCCAAGTAGAAACACCTCCTGTTAGATAGGATGTCCAGGACTAAAGATTCAACATTCTCTGAGATTTACTTTGTCTTCAACAATTTTCCAATTATTGCTACTGCTACCATGATGCTGGGCTAAGTGAGTGGTCAGAGGAAGAGCTGGATTCAAGTGTATTCTCATAAGCCTTTCTTTATTTCCTGTAAGACACTGAAGCCAAATGAATATTTTAAAGAGATTTGCAATTGAATTTTCGATAAAGTTTTTAAATAAAGGTTCTTTTTGTCTCAGTTGAGTTAATTGCAGCATTGTTATAAAATAATGAAAGATTAGAGATAGCATAAAGGCCCATTAATAGTGGAATGGGTAAATGTGTAACAATATATCTATACAGAAGATACTGGGCAGCTAATAAAATAAACGAAGTAGGCCTAAATGTATTGATGTATGGAAAACAAATCAAGATGCAGCTCTTATTGTCCTCCATCTCATAATTTGTAAAAAAAAAAAAACCAAAAAACTACAGAACAGAACTACGTTATCCACCCCCCTCATGGTTTCACTTGCTGCAGTTTTAGTTATTCATAGTCAGCCACAGTGTGAAAATATTAAATGGAAATTTCCAGAAATAGTTAGTAAGTTTTAAATTGTGTGTTCTTCTGAGTAACATGATGAAATCTTGTGCCATCCTGCACTGTCCTGTTCTGTCCCATCTGGAACTTCGAATCATCCCTTTGTCTGGTGTACCCAATCTGTATATGCTATCTGCCCATTAGTCATTTAGTAGCCATCTCTGTTATCAGACTGATTATCAGAGAAAGAGTCCACATTTCTATAACTTTTATTATGGTGTACTGTTATAATTGTTCTATTTTATAAGTTATTGTTGTTGATCTCTTACTGTGCCTAATATATAAATTAAACTTTATCATAGGTGTTTGTGTATAGGAAAAAACATATAGGGCTTGGTACTATGTGGATAGGTACTATCTGGGGTTTCAGGTATCCACTGGGGATCTTGGAATGTATCTCTCATGGGTAAGGGGGAACTACTTACAGTTTAGCACTGAAAAATGCTTTGAAAAATGCCTCTGCTTATCAAACTATTATGAGTGATTTCATCTGAAGAATGGAGATGGAGGATGTTATGGGTTACTTTATTTACTCTTTATATTTTTATTTTGTTTGAATTTTTTCAGCGAACATGTATTTCTTCTGTAATAAAACAATGATGACTTGAGGATGTTTAAAGTAGAAATAATATCAATTTATGACCTATTCTTATTTTGTCTGTTCCGTTAGCTGTTTAGACTATAATTTTTGCTTTTTTCATTTTCCTTCTAAACTCTAATCACTCTAGCTCCGCCTCCTTAGTGGGCCTCTTATAACCTAATCCTATTTATCCCTCAGGAGTCACCTTTGATTCTCTGAGAAGCATTCCTGGATCACTCAGTCGTATTTTATTACCTTTCCTCTGTGATCCCATGACACCCTGGGAAATCTTCCTTAGTCACTGGTGTCTAAGGCAGGAGCTGTTATTATTTGACTTTGTAGTCCGTGGAACTGAGCATAGTACCGAGCACACGGTAGAAATTTATTAAAAGGGGTTTCAGTGTTAATAAAGCATAGAATTTTGGGTATATCTCCTTAATATTAGCATGTCCTTTTGTGTAGGTTGTCATTTTATGTCATTTTTATTGAAGTTCTATGTGAAGAGACATGTTTTAATTAAACTTCAGTTTATATCTCAGAATGTTTTGAGTTTATGTTGATGAGCTCTCCTAACAGAACTCCAGGCAATTTATTTAAATGTAATATTTTATCAATTGTTATTAGAGGACAGGAGAGTGATAATTTCATACTTTATTGTGATATAAAACATTAATATAGAATGTTTTTATAATATCTCCAAATGCATTAATTAAAGAAAACCTACATTTGTTTGCTTAGAAAATGTGTAACATTGACTCAAGAAGAAGGATAAACACAAATTAATGTTTCTTCTGTGTGTAAATTGCTTGTCTTAACAGTTTGTTTTCTTTTTAGGTTCAACAGATAGATCGTGTAGTGGAAGTTGTGGAGGAAACAATTAAAGGTAATTGTTGAAAGTGAGATAAGCAGAGGTATATATTGTTTGAACCATATTATAAAAAATATTACTTAGTTAACATTTCTTGGGCATCTTTTTTTTTTTTTTTTTTAACACCTACAGCACCTGGTATTCCTATTATTGGTCATCTTTATGAAAATTTTTGTTCTAGATATAAAACAATATTTTGTCCATGATTGCTTCATGCATTGACTGATCCTATATAGGAGGCATATATTTGATTAGCTTATAGATGAGTCAGTTCATAGTTCTTTTTTTTTTATCTTTCTTTTATTTTTGTCTAAAATAGATTTAATTTAAATCTCAGATCAGGAAGACAGAATTTAATCAATCTTGAAATAAGGAAATGATGTCATTTGTGTTTTTTTCAGTTTTATTGAGATAAAATTGACATTTGCATATTTTCATATCACAATTAGTTGCAGTTTTCCTTGTTAAAAAGTACTTTTAAGTCGTATTCAATTTTAATACCTCTTCAAGGTGTAATTTTTATAGTTACACCAGAAAATAGAGTTTTGCTTTGCTTGTTTCATTAGCCAGTGTTCTTTGAAACAGATTCTTATTGATGTCATTGAGAAATAAGCCATCCTTAATTCTGTCTTTTAATTTTTAAATATTTATAGTTTATTTTTCCTTGTAGGTTAGCACAAATGAAAACTATTAATATGATTTTGAAATATTAAGTTAAATGAATTGAGGGCCTTACTTAAAATTTTAACTATTTTGTTATAAATGAGAAACGTGTTTTTTTTTTTTTTTTTTTAAAGACAAACAAATGACGACTTCTGTCATTTCGATTGAGACTTTTAACCACATACTTTTACTCCTGGCTTGTATCTACTGCCTTTCATATTCTGTTATAAATGCTCATTAATTTTAAATCTTTGATATATTAAGAGATTGATGACCACAGAATATGAGACTGAGACTGTACCTTAAACTTTTTTGGAAAATTTAAAATAAAGTAAAATATCATGATTAAAATGTTGAGCAGTGATAATTTTGAAATTTTTGTTCAAATTATACCTCAACCCCATCTTGGAGAATCCAGAAATACTAGCATTTATTGTGCACTTACAGTGAGACAGGCACTGTGCTAAATATTTCACATGGATTAAGTCATTTAATCTTCACCACAGTACTGTGAAATGAATATAAACATTATCCTAATTTTTCAGATGAGGAAGTTGAAACACAGGGTCACACAGTAAGTGGCAGAATTGAGATTTGAATCCTGACAGTTCTGGGTCCAGTGCCTGTGCTCTTAAGTTTGACACTACATTCACACTATACTGTGACTTCTCTGCTCTCTCCCAGTTGAGAATCACTGCCTTAGTGGTTGTTCAGTTATGCTTCTTAAAGCAGTGCTTCAGGATGCTTGAGGATATTGTTGCCTTATGTATCTTCTGTTTGAGTACTAGGTGTATAGTGGCCACTCAATAATTTTTTAAGGAAATTAATGATAGTGAAGCTAACAGGAGGAAATCTAGGTGAACTTGGGTATGGCAATGACTTTTTAGATGAAACAAAGGCATAATTCATGAAAGAAATCATTGATTAGCTGGACTTCATTAAAATTAAAACCTTCTCTACAAAAGATACTGTAGTACTATACACATATTATAATGGCCAAAATTCAAAACACTGACAACACCAAATACTGGAGAGGATGTGGAGAAACAGGAACACTCATTTATTGTTGGAGAGATTACAAAATGGTACAGCCATTTTAGAATACAGTTTGGCAGTTTCTTACAAAACTAAACATAGTCTTTCCATATTATTGAGCAATTGCACTCCTTGGTGTTTATCCAAAGGAATTGATAACATGTCCACACAAAAACCTGAACATGGATGTTTATAGAGTTTTATTCATAATTTCAAAAATGTGGAAGCAAACAACATGTCCTTCAGCAGCTGGATAAACTATGGTAATTCCAGATAGTGGAATATTAGTACTGAAAAGAAATGAGCTAGGAAGCCGTGGAAAGATCTGGAGGAAACTTAGAAGTAAATTACTAAGTGAAAGAAGCCAATATAAAAAGGTTGTATATTCTGTAATTCCAACCATGTAACATTCTGGAAAAAGTAAAATTAAAGTGGCTATAAAAAGATCAGCGGTTACTAGTGGTTATTGAGGGAAGAGAAAGAGTAAATAGGTGGAGTACAGAGGATTTTTTTTTTTTTTTTTAGGGCAGTGATACTATTCTGTATGATACTGTATTGGTGGGTACATGTCATTACACATTTGTCAAAACCCATAAATTATATAGCACGATGAGTATGAATGGTGATGTAAACTGTGGGCTTTGGGTGATAATGATGTATCAGTTTAGGTTCATTGATTACGATAAATGTACCATCCTGGTGGAGGATGTCGATAATGGGAGGACTGTGTGTATGTGGTGGGGAAAGGAGGTATGTGGGAAATCTATACTTTCTGCTCCATTTTGCTGTGAACCTAAAGCTGCTCTAGAAAATAGTCCATTAAAAATGATGAATAATTGTGCTCGGAAGGTTGCCAAATGGCTTGTAGAGATATAATTTTTATAGAAAATTATAGAAAGTAAAGGTAAACTATTTTTCTGTATTCATAATACTTCTGACACCAAATGTATAGGTTTTCTACACCAAGTAGTTCTGATACTAACTACTCAGAGTTAGTGCAGGTGTCGTCAGTTAAGGGTTCAGTCTCACAAGACTGCCCACTACTTCAGATGCCAATTGCAAATCCAGATTGTCATCAGACAGACTAGCTCCCTCTTCACATTTGATGATTTGCTGGAACAGCTCATGGAACTCAGGAAAGCCCTTTATTTACTATTACTGGTTTATTATAAAGGAGTATCCAAATAGAAGAAATGCATAGGGCAGAGTATGTGGAAAGGGACACAGAGTTTTCATGCCCTCTCTGGTTGTGCCACTCTCCCAGCACCTCAATGCTTTTAACAACTTGGGAGCTCTTCAAACCCCATCATTTAGGGGTTTAATGGAGGCTCCATTACATAGGTATGATTAATTAAATCAGTGGCCATTGGTGATTGAACTTAGTCCAGCCCCTCTCTACTTCCTGGAGGTTGGGGAGTGGGGCTGAAAGTTTCAACCCTCTAATCATCTGGTCGGCTCCTCTGGTTACCATTTCTATCCTTCAAGATTTTACTCATTAGCATAAACTCAGATATGGTTGAAAGGGGTTTATTATGAATGATAACTACAACAAAAAATGCTCCACTCATTCCTATCACTCAGGAAATGGGGGTTTTAGAAACTGTATCAGGAACGGGGGATGAAGACCAAATATATATTTTTTATTATATCCCAACATCACAGAAGCCCTCTACCTCCATGGTTGGGTTAATTAGGGAGGGCTTCTCACTGAGGAGTTTTGGCTTGAGTGGATTTATTAGAGAGATTGCAGTTGGTCTTAATTCTAAGAGTCTGCAGCAAGAGGCGAGTTTAAGTTGTTGGGAACGTTCATTGGCAGGTCTGGTTTGAGGGTAGGAAGGCTGGTGAATTAAGTCTTAGCAATGCAACAAGAGAATTTTAGAGATGGAAGGAATGTTGTAGGTGTCCTTAGTTTGCAGATGAGGAAGCTGAGTTAGGAAGGGGTTAAGTGACTCATCTGAGATCTCTTGATTAATCTCAGAGCAAGGTTTGCCAGTGAACTTCTGTTCTTTGCTTTCTAATACCAGTACTTCATCTAGACAGCGTAAGTTAGCGAAATAATGTGGCCTTTGTAACATTTACCAGTTGCTTGTTGTCTTTCAGCAGGTTACTTTTCAAAGGCTCAATTTAAAGTGAAGAGGGTTAAATGGATAAGACTTTTGAGATACGCAGAACATAACGAGGAGATCAATTCATATCACTGTTTCTTACTATCTCCTTAATACCCATACTGCTGGAATAACCTAATTGACCTTTGCTACCAGTGACTTTCCTTTCAATCTGACTATATGCTGCTACTATTATCCTCAGATTATTTTTATGTCCTGCATATGTGCCTTTAGTGGTTGCCTGTTACCTACAAATTAATTTAGAACTTCTTAGTGTGATCTTAATTATCTTCTGCTCTAGTCTGCCATTTCAATTTTTCTTCCATTAATTCCATACATATACCTTTTGCTCCAACCAATTGTACTATTTATGTTTCTCCTGTGTCATTTGCAGTCTGCTTCACATTCATTTTAGGGCCCTGTACAAACGTGGATAAGTTCTTTTTGCCTCTCAGGATCCATTCTCCACCTTTTCCACCTGATCTATGTTCATGGAGGCTGACCTGTGTGAATTGCATCAATAGGCCTTTTCTATCTGGCATCTGGTTTGATTAAGCCCATTGGAGGTGAGAGGTATGACTTGAGCCTGAGATGGGAGTATTTGTTCCCTTCCTACAAATCCTGGATTGGTTGTTTCTCTCACCCAAAGGATATAGCTTCTGTCAGGTGGCCCCCTTTATTCATCTTTTTCCCTAAGTTCCTATAACTGTTCCCTTCCTTTGATTTTTCAGGCCTGGGAGTGAAAACAGCACTCCATTGTTGCTAGCCTTAGAATACTACATTGTCTCTTGTTGGTTTTCCTAACCTTGCCAAACTTTAGTAAATAGTCCCTTTATTAAAATCTCTTTAATTATGCAGTGTGCCATCTGCCTTGCTGGGACCCTGATTGATAAATGCTCTGTGGAGAAGCAAGGCTCTGCCCAGAAGGGCCAGATGGAATACAGCCTGACAAGAGGATTTTGCCATAACTGTCTTGTTTCCATATTTGATTTTTTTTTGGGCTCTCTTCACGTGTCTTTCTTGAGCACGGTTTGGACATACAGCCTCTGCCATAGCCTGTTTGCATTCTTCTTCTTATTCCCTATGCTATTCCAAGAATTGGTTTAAAAGATGTATTAATAAGGTACATTGATGCTGAAAACATTTAAATCTCTCATAATTATCTTAAAACTGTACAAAGCATGTTCCATTTGTCTCTGTCTTAGTTGGAAC